ATGTCTGTACACATGTTGTTTCAGCGAAGACTGACAAATATATATAGATATATTTGTATAGGTGAAGTAAGGTAAATATAAAAACAATGGACCGGGAAAAGTTAATAAGTTGTGGTTCTCCTTAGGGCCACTGCCTTTGGGAGTACCACGTTCGCGGCGAGACGCTCTACCGCGAAGCGGGTTCGCACTCGCGTGGCATGCTGCTCGTCGAGCGGAAACAGACACCAGTCACGTTGGTAACGGTGATAAACTCTGTTTATTTACAATGAAACAAAATAACAACAACACAGCGGCTATAAGCTGGTGAACGCCGTCGGTGTGGAGATCGCCCACGGCCGAACGGTCGTTCTCAAATGTACAAAGGACGGGGTAATCGCTCACCGGTGCGCCGGAAGGTTCCCCGTTGTCGCCGCCGCCGAATCCCAGGAAGAAGAGAGAAGCGAGACTGCTGTCCGCTGGATTCAAGATATCGGCGGGGGCGAAGTGGCCAATCAAGGAGCGACACGTCGATCTCCTTTGTGCGGGGGTTCGTTATGGAAATCGCCCCAAGGGGGAGAGAAGGAAGCCACTCACAGTGGTAAGCAGCGCCACCTCTCGCTACGTCGGCGCGGCCGCCACGGCGCGCCAAAACGCTGACGCGACAGAATGTTGAGGGATCACAATCCCCACAAAGTCAAAGATGCGTACTGTCGGAGTTACTAATTCGGAGTTTATTATGATGAAGAGCGGTCCGCGTTTGAAACGTCGTAATAAACTCCGAATTAGTAACTCCGACAGTACGCATATTTGACTTATATATTTATATATATATGCAGGTATTTTTGCCCAAGACCATATGGGTGGGACAATCGCTGCGATTCACGAAGCGGGTAGACAGAATGATATCGGTTTGCATCCAAATCTCAATCTGTGCACGGACGTTCAGCTCGCTCATTGTTCGCCGGATAGAGCGCGTTTTGAGTAAGACGATTTTAAAAGTATGGAGTGCTTGATGCGAAATCCACTGCTCCCAGAAAGGGTTCCGTCTGTCCTTCCGTGCATGCACCATGGCAGGGCATGTCAGCACAGCGACTTTGGTTACGACAGCAGCACAAGTGAAACAAGGCATGCAAGAACTTACTTCGAATTACAGCCATCTATAGGGAGTATTCACTGGACGCCATATTTGTGGGTGCTGTTTAGAGCGCATACTCGGAACGAGCTCACATCAATAGGCGGCTAAGTCTGGCACTCTTGATTGTGCGGAATGCACGTTGCAAAAGAACTGTGGAAGCTCGCCATCAGCACGCGCTCACCATTCGCGCACACCGCTATGGCCGCCAGTGAATACTCGCTATATGTACTCATGCTCCATCACAAATCGAACACATTATGTCGTGAAGCAATGAAGAAGGTGCAGGCTAGTTGGTGTAAATTGAGCATAGTTGTAAACCCGAGACTGGGGCTACGGACAAGGGACTTCGTCCGTGTCGTTCTGTGTCTGTCCCTTGTCCGTATCCCCAGTCTCGGATTTGCAACTATGCTCATTATGTCGACGGCCTGATGCTCTACCACTGCACCTGCTGGACGACTTTCCACAAAATCCGGCTAATGTGCATGCCATAGCCTCCAACTATAGTCACGACATGCAGATACCCTCCGTAGTGTGGAGTGACATATCCAATAAAAAAGAATATTGTACTAAACTCGTCGAAACAACTCTCCAAATACTCAAATAACTTCTAAGCAAATTAAAAATGGGCCTTAATTAATGCACGTAGTGCATTATAGATGTTTGAAAATAAATACCGCTCAATTTTGTTTTTGCATCGTCTTTTATTGAAAGCACTTTTAATTTCTGACACAAAGCGTGTTACTCGGGTGATTGTAGTATTTTGGGCACTTTTAAGAGCGTATAAGCACTGCTTTCAAGATGTTTGACGCATCCACTCAAAGTGACTCGAATGTAAACAGTGAGAAACAATAATGCACGAGTGAGCTAATCTTTAAAGCCGAAAGAACATGGTAAACACGTTACCTGGAAGTTAGTGAAAATGTTTAGGCGAGCGTTCCAGGCGTCCCATTGTCCCCCGACTCCTGCTGTCGCGAACATGTAGCTCGACATTGAACGAGTAGTGAATGCAAACGAACCTGGTTTGCAATGGTTGGAACCCAGCGCTTGTTGTGCCTATTAATGAACTTGTCTAGAGCACCGTAAAAGTTTCAGGGGTCCTCGCCCGTTGCCGAATTCAACGAGCCTTAATCGAGTTCGACAGCGTGCCAGCATTTGAACAATCTGCATACGAGTTCATGCGACAGGCCTTCGCTTGAAGGCTCCAGTTTGTGAGTCCCAAGTGGCTAAAAAAACAAAACAAAAAAACAGGCAGTTCTTGTTACAACATCGCACTCTTCGCCAAAATATCGCAACGCCGGGCAGCTGAGTTTCTCAGTGTGAAACATTATTCCAACGGCAACGTTCTCTAACATCCCTCATACTGCGCCGCGAAGCAGTCAGCACACAAATTAATTTCTTTTTTTTTTATCAACTTGACACAATGAAAAGGTTAATTTTCAGCGTGCCAAGATTGGCAGGCGATATCAGTGGTAAAAAATCTGGACACCTTTTTATCACTGAGAGCATGTCTAACGGGGTTTGCTACCTTCTCCCTTCTCACAGAGAACATCAGGTGCTTTCCATGATCGGCGCTATATTTGTTTGCCTTGCCCACCTCTTAATTCCATAAAATACATAATTCGCCATTATTACCAATTTTAATCACTTGATGCCGTTTGCTTTGTTTCATTTTTATCAAGATTTAAAGTTAGCTCGCAAAAAGAAAAAAAAAAAAAAGCATTTCCTAATATAAGACAAGTTATCGGTACTTTGATACTCCCGAAAGTCAACTGTAGCTGTTTTGTATAAACCGATTTTTATAAAACCCGCATTCTTTTTGTCTAAGATCCTATTATCTTTTAAGCAGCATCACTGACTTAGTTTCCTCGAAACATCTCAGCAGCGCGCTTTCATGGCAAAAGGAATGGCGATTACGCATCCGTTTTAAATAAATGTGTTACAATTGATTACTCTATTACACATGTCCGCCGAGAATTCGAAAAACATCGTAAAAGTTTTCTTTCTTTTCCACTTACACTGCTATGTACTTATAATCTTGCCAGGAAACTTCTTACATGGTGTGTTTGGGAATTTATTAAAATCCACAAATACAGTACATTTACAGCGCGTTCTAGCGTTAAATGCAAGAAAAATTATTCTGAGTCAAAAACGTTAACGTTTTAGTTTGTACAATGTATATGTACGTCGATTTCTAGCTTCTTACTTTTTTTATTACTTAAAAAATCTTTTTAAGAGGTTTTCTTGTTTTTTTTTTACGGTAACAGGTTAGGATATTTTGGATTACAGTAAGAAGTACAAGCGAACAGATTGTTCAGCGTGGGCCAGAAACTAAAAAAAAAGCGAATCAACAATCTCCCGGGCGGGAAAACAGTACTTTACTTCTCCTGAAATTGACGTTTGACCAAAAAAGGCACTGGGTTTGCATCGTGGGGCAGATGAAGCTCGCTTCTCTGGCAGGGAGTATCTTGATCGCAGAAGCGGGGACACACAACACAAAAGCAAAAGTGGCAGGGTCAAAGCCCTCATCCTTTCTTAGAGAATAAGCACTCTCGGAGGTGCCTCGCAGCATACTTTTCCGAAATGCACCTGTAGGATCTATCTTTAGGTGATTTTAACCGCTTCGCTGGCCTCGTTGGCTAAACTTGCTGAAAAAAATAATACCATTCTGAGTACATTGCGGTGTTTTATTGCAAGGCCCTTCCAAGAGTGTATAGATCACCTGACATCTCATATCGCTTCACGCTCAGCTAATTACGCTGAGCTTTGGGAATTCATACACATAGTATTCGCATTATTCAAACGAGCACACATTGTACAAGCGTAAGGTGAACATCCACTGCAAGTTCTTATGCAAACCCTAAATGCAGATTACAACAATATTCGAGTCGCCGTGTAGTGTTATAACAATCCAAGCAACATTTAGCGCCGTTCTTCTGTTGAGAGGAAATTTACTAGCCAGATATTGCGCTTCCTGCTCGGAAGTTCGGTATGTGGACCAGCAGAAAAAAAATGTATCACGCGTATGGATACTTTTTTGTTTTTGTTTTTTAGAGCTACAGACATAGATGTGTTCTTGGTATAGAAATTACGGACACTTATTCAAAACTATTATGCAAGTGCCTTGGCAATCAAGCCGTGGCAGAATGACCCTGATCGTGGGTTTAGTTTAATGATATTTTCTTAAACATTTCCATGGCAGCATTCCGAATAATACTAGCCTTTCTGACGAAACTATATAAACAATCATTTTGGGAATGTCAGAAAATTCAAACCGAAACAAGGACACATATAAAAGTTATGACTGTTTTTGGCGTCAAATGCATGTTCATAATTCAGGTTGATATTTGCATGCACCAAATAGCATCGTCATCATTGCATGCGTAAAGCGTGTTCCACAAGGAGAAACGAAAGGAATCACTCACAAAATTGAGACGAAAACACGTTGTGACTAGCTACGTCTAGGGTGCGCAATAGGATGCTAATGTCACGACTAACGCATTCTACCTTCAACATGATTCATATTTACAATCCAACGTATCTGTACAAGCTTGGAAAATACTCTTTTTCTTTAGTATGACAAAATAAAATAATCATGAGCTAACATCTTAATTAGCCTCGCCGCTAGAAGAGGCCAAAAAAATCACGTCTGGTATATTATGGTTAGAAGGTGAGCACGTTGATGAAATTATACGTTGCTGAAAGAATAAACACAGTGACGGACAAGAAGACACATCTTCATGTGTATGCGCGTTCGTCCCTGTGCTTATTCTTTCAATAACGTATACCTTGCTTCCCAAACATTCAACTGGCTCGTGTCGAGACCATCCGAAAAACAGCAGAAATCGCACGCTTCGGGGATGTTACCTTTTTAATTGTCAAACATTGTTATTGCCACCCTAGCATTCATAGCAATTTTTTTGTTTGTTCCCATTTGTACATTTTGGAGAAACTACAAGAACTAGAACAATGTCAGGTTCCCTTTTCTTGGAACGCTTACCATTGACGAGTGTGGTTCATATTATCACTACCTTAAGAAAAAATAACAATATTCAAAACTGTATTGTTTAACAGAATTATATGTGTTTGCATTCGTGTTAAAAATCTCAGTTTTAACATATGAAGAGTCTGAGACAGTTACATAAGGAATAATCACCTCAAAATGCAGTGGCTTAAAGCATTAGTTGTTAAGTTGGACTCGGCCGCGTTCTATGTGCTTTAGATACTGTATTTATAAAGGCTCTTTAGAAAACGTTCTTTTTTATAGTTAAAAGCTTTCTTCGTACAACGTACTTCGGAGGTGTCAATAAATACTTATGTTAGTTATGCACAGGACTTTCTATAAAATACAAGTATTTTTTTTCTTATTCGCGCAAAAACAAGCACGATGAGTAAATCCAATCCGCGTTTCAAACTAGCCTAAAAAACTTAGCCTTTCGCAAGATTCTAAACCATCCAAAACAAATATCACTGTTTCCCTTTAACGTCAAGTAATTCTCCATGCATCAAGGTATTGGGTGCACAGATACCAATTCTGTTCACTGGACCCGAAAATAAAATGAGAGACACGAGTGAGAGAAAAAAAAAACGCGATTTCGAGAACAAATCATCCGAGGTTAACAGACTGATGTGACATCCGTTTTAGCTCACGGGAACGCTTCCTGCGAGCGGGATAGTTTATTTATTTGAGGTGATCTCACTGGCCGAGTACCTGCCACATTAAGAACCAACCACTAGCCATTTGCTCAGGCAAATAGCTTTGGCTCCAGAGAGAGAAACAAAAATCTCAAGTAGGCTTGCAGCAAATCATCTCGCACCTTAATCGCTGTGGGAGTATTTCTACACATTCGAAAGTTATTGCATGTATGCTGCGTCGTGATTCACAGAAAACACTAATCATTCGGCACTCTCTCTCTGTGAAGCCGAAAAGGAACCTCATGGGAACGTGGAGTGACAGCTCGCGTTTCGTTATGCCACTTATCTGTTTCGGAGCAGTCTGTGAGTGAAACGACAGTTGCTACCTTCATACAGAGCTTTTTTTCTTTCACATTTTCCCTATTGTCATTGAGAGCTTAAATAATGCAGGGCGTGGAAAATTGCATGCATCACACTACTATTTCTCAGCCAACAAGATTGCTGCATCCGACGAGAAGGATTCTAAAGATCGAATGACGGGACAAAAAGCACATAAAGGCCACACTTCTTGTCAGTGACTATACCAGCTACGACTACGGTTCACTTCTAGTCTATTACAAAGTTTTAGGGAAACGTTTTTGCACTCCCCATACGGTTCGATGAGCCCTCCAGTACGAACTGAGCATATTCGAACCTTCTGGGGTAGCTCACGCGCAGTTTGTACACCTGAGGTCCCATCGTACCGTATCGGATATGCAAATACGGTTCCCTAAAACTCCCTATTGACTAGCGAATGTAAAGGGCGAGCGGTACCGCGCTCCGATAGTTACTCCCTCTCGGAGACCTCCCATTTTTTTTTCGTTTCAAACCGCAGTTTAGACCACGTAAAGCTAAAGTTATCGCAGCGAAATAGACAAATTCTGACATTAGTCAGCACCGCTACCTGCTACCAGCGTGTGGCCGAATATCCCTACTGCGGAAGGCAGGTTAAAGAACCGAAGCTAGCAGTTTGAGCCCACGCTCTTATCTATGACAAGAACCACTGTCGCCATATTCTCGAGGACCGACCTCACATTGTCAAAACATCTAACGTCTAAATGTTTCATTTGTATTTGTTGCCCTAAATTAATTTAATATCATTTTGATATTGCAAGCAATCAATACATTGTATTGATTACTTTTTCCGTTATAAAAATGGATTAAAAGAAGTCCAGTGAATATTATATGGACCGCCTCCCGAATAACCATTCACCGAAAAACTTCTGATAGCTCACAGCATATTTAATAAAAGTATAAATGATCCTCAAGACTTCACCGACATCGCCGCTAGGTAAAGTGATTTTCGCAGCATCGTATCTTGACGTGCGAATATTTATACATTTAGGAAATAAATATTCGGAATCCCCATTGGTGCGATCTTCGATATAATTATTGTGTTGTAAGTATACAGCACATTCCTATCAAGGTAACCACGAGCGAAAACCTCTGGCCCTGTGCAAGAATTTACATTGACTGAAGTGTTAGAGGTTTGACTGCGTACCGATGGTTTTTCGCACACACTCTGCTTTCTCATAGGTCTCATTATTCGTCACGCGCATTTTTTTAAGTGAAAAAAACAGGCATAATCTTGGTTTGATAAGATCAGCTATGCCGGACCAAAATCCCTGCGGCGGTCATCCCGCTCGTCGCCACGGCGAAGAAAAGCTGCAGCGTGATGCTCCAGCCGACCAGCGAGGCGCCGGAGTTTCCGTTGTCCTTTCGGGAGTGGGCGGCCTCCTTCTGCATCACCTTCCGCTGACTCAGCATCATGTCAATCTCGTTCTTCATTGTCTGCGTCGTCGCGGTCGCGTCGCCCCGCGCCTCCGAGGCCAGCGCCTCTTCGGAATCCTCCTCTTCGATCTGGTTCCTGTCGTCCCGGTGTTCGAGGATGTCGCCCTCGTGCGGCGAAGCGACGGTGGTCATTGTCGTGCTGTCGACTTCAGCTTCGGGGTGGGAATTCTCGAACTTGGGCTTCTCGTGGTCTTTGGGGCAATTGAGCTCCTTGGCGCTAAGGCGGGCCACCTTGCTGCTGGTACCCGTCGCACCGTCGGCCGCTGCGAAGTCGCACTTGATGTGCCGCAGCTCGCGCCGGAAGTTGTCGTTCCTGGTGGCGTTGGCCAGATGCGCGATCCAGGAGATCCTGCAGTCGCAGCTGAACTTGTTGCCTGGAAAAAAAAAAAAAGATGGTACGAACGAGGCAATTAGACACGCTGCTAAAAAAATCATTCGTCGATCCAACCGCAACTAAGCAAGTTACTCACTTCCAGAAGTTATCAGGGATGTGAATTTTCTGGGAGCCTCACAGCAACATCCGACATTTATTCAAGAGACATTGCTTAGAAAGTCTCTTAAAAATATATCCGCTTTCACTCTGAGGATTCAGGATGACTCTATTCGAGATTACCCAACAGGCTTTTTTTTGTGTGTGTGTGTTTTATTAACTTACTTGTTGCAGAGTCTGAAATGTAACCCTTTGCTTCCCTCGCTCCTGATACATAAGAATTATTAATAAGAATTAGGTCTAAGAAAGATACAAAATTTAAATGCCTGCAAAGTGCGGCTGAAACCACTACTTATACTTGCATTCCGCCTTCTTAGGTGCAACAAAGAATGTGGTACAGCTGGCGTGTCTATCATTATGTACAGCAATGTACTATTAAGTGTTTTTTTAATGCTTTTTATTTCATGATGTTTAAGGTTCAATACTATAAGGCAAAGACGGCGCAGGATAGGGTGAGAATAAGGCTGGAGTTTTTTTCAGGTCTACAGATGAAGTTACTGAATCTTATTTCGCGTGACAAACTAATTCGTACCAAAAAAAAAAAAAGTCCACAAGTCTGGTCTTGATAGTGTCGTACCCCGATGACGGGTGGCCACAGATATTCGAGAGAACGATGAACAGCGGTTCTACTACGTTAGGTTAGATTACAGTGTTACAAGTGCCGAAAATTTCTTAAGGCACTTCCTGTCGACGTGTTACATATACAAAACAAGAGTAACTCTGCCTTCAGCGCGTGGTTCCATCAGCATAAAGCTCCTCTCCTCAGTGCAGAGAAAAAATATCAGCATAGTGTAACACAGAAGGGTACACTTTTCACCACTGCTTATTTGATATTTCCCAAGCTTAACGAGCATGCGTCTCATAGACGTAGTGCGAAGATATGACATAGGAAATCTGTGTCCCAGAAAAATTGGCACTCGAGGACGCGCCGTCCAAACACTGTTGTAAAAAACGCTACCTGCAAATTGAAGACTCTGACGCCACTTTTTTTTTTTTAGATGCGGAGCATCTCTTGCTCGGGCTATGTCCCGCGGCGTCGTAGTCCGCACTCACACTACGCGTGCGCAACTCTCCTCGCTGCGCGTGCGTTCTCTCTCTCTTCAACAGCTGCGCGAAGTGCACGCAGCTACCAGCTGCGTGCACTTCGCGTGCGTTCGCTTCTACTCACACCGCGCGCGCAGGCGCAACTCTCCTCCTCTAGTTTCTTCTCCTTCAAGTTTGAATATAAGCAGCGGTAGCGCGCAGAGCCGTGTATTGAGAGAGTTCGGTCAATGGGAGGCGCGGGGAGGGCCAGGGCGTGCACCAGGCTCGGAACGAAGGTTTGGCATGCTCTCTTGACCAACCAGAAGCCGAAAAGAATCCCCTAGCGGCGGTAGCGAGAAACAGTTCTGGTCGAAGCTATATGGTCGTATATGGTTCTAATAAGCGCGTAAGAGTGAAGTGTAGTAACTCTTTGTGGCTGAAAACAGGGTGCACGTGATGTTTCGGTCACAATCTCATAATCATGCAGAAAGATGTAAGAAACGAATGCTCCGCTCAACTCTGTTTTGCTCGGACAGAGTGTGACCGCTCGGACGGCAGATTCCCGGCCCTCGGCGCTCGGCGTACAGATTATGTCGATCGTTCCGCTAGTCGCACTCTTCCACCATCATTTTGGATGAGCATGATTGAAACATCACGTGTACCATATTTTCAGTCTCCGAGAGTTACTCCGATACAGTTATCAGGTTTGTTTCTCGCGACCACCGCCAGGGTATTATTTCCGGCTTCTGGTTGGTCACATTTGAATTTTTGAAGACGCCTTGGAACACGCCCAGCCCGCTTTCGGCCCAATGGGGCCTCCTCATTTGTCCCCTATACTTCCCAACGAATGGCCAAACTCTCTACATATACGGGTCTGGTGGCGCGCTGCGCGCGTTCAAGGGGAGGAAGTGGCCGAGTGGGCTAACGCGTCTCAGCTCGGAGCGTGGAGCGAAAGCTTGCGCTGGGAACCTCCTGGGTTCGAGTACCCGCCACCATCGCCCGTTTCGATCTGGATGAGTTTCGTACCGGCACGCGTTCGTGTGATGACTACTGCGTGATGCACGTTAAGAATCCCAGGTTAGTGCTTGTACTGCACTGACTAAATTTCTCATCTACAGCTAAGAGACCGATTACCCGTTGAGGCGCATCTCCATCAAGGCTGTATAAACCTAAAGAGCAAACCAATTTCTGCGCGCGTTCAGTTCACCGCTGTTGACTCCACTTCACTTTGTTCTTCCGATGAAGTGTGATGGAACGATGCTCCGCATCACCCCATGGTTCCCCTCGGGAAGATGGTGTAATTTTTTTATTGTGAAAAAGTGACAACTCTCTAGGAAAGTCAAATTTAATTAGTAAATCGTGTCTTCTTACCCCAACTTGCGCGTACTGCGGCTCAAATTATTTTGAATAACGTTCTTAGTCTGACGTAAATAATTTTTTCACGTATGTAAACACAAAGATACAGAAACAAAATAAAGAATAGCACCCACACATGGCAATGGCGCAGGGCGAACTTACAAAAAAAAAAAAGGGGGTGTTTAGTAGAGTACAATTCATACCCGGAAATTCCAAGGCCGAACACATAATGAGAACCTTATTAGAAGGCGAGTCCTGGGCCCTGGCTTACCTCTCTGCCTTTCACCCATCACTTCCTAATATGGAATATTAGAAGGCGCAAACAATTACTCATATTCCTTTCGTTTCATGGCTTATCTCTTTTTTATTCTTTATTTCTGCCGGAGGCCGCTGTCTCGCGCAACGGTGGTTAAAAAAGAAAAACAAACAAAAAAAAATAATTTGGCTTGACAATTTATTTTTAATTGTCACTCTTGAATGGCGTAACGCTTAATAAAGATAATGCCCAACACCGGAAAACTTAAACACAGATCCAAGAATACAACCGAAGTTAGCAAAAAGATATATTTTACAAGGAGCTTTCGGACACTGTACACCTTTTCGACCTCCAACGCATGGACGCTGCCATCTTGGAATTACGTGACACGGCCACCATAGGGTGGCTTCAAATCGTCGCTCCTCAAGCCCCTTCGCGCCTTGGCCAAGGCATTGTATTTTTTTGTTTGTTTGTTTGTCTTTTGTTGCGTTTCACCGAAATTTTCTGTCTTGCTTTGGGAAGCGTCTTATCTTACTTTTACTACCTAGATGCATGCCATCATTATGGGCATAACTTCTACAATTTATTTTATAACAGTTTATGAATATTTGCACCGTCGGTGTTCCGGATACGCGTGAGGAAAAGAGTCAGCGTTAGCCCTGGCGCACATTGACGATGTAGATGTTTCTCAGACAGGCGAGGGCTGGAGCCAATTATTTATGGCAGCGCAAATTTCTTAAGTAATAGTAGCTGAGTGTTAATGGCCGAATTAGAAGCGCGAGGTATCTTTATGATCACGCATTTATGATCTTAAAGAAGGGGGCAAATATAGTCAACGCAAGTAGTCACTATGTGTGTTTCTTGAAAGCATAGTGCTCAGCCATCATAACAAATTTAAATCAGTTGCTTTTGATTATAAGGAGGAATAATTTTTCCGATATAAACATTCGCTTGGTCTGTCTGTTTAGAATGAAAAAAAGATACGCATTGGGGTTCGGCTCATGTCTGCAGTCACACAATTTTCTTAAGATACCAAACCATTGGTGCCTCGTCAGGCGACGCGATTGCCATTTGCAGCAAGGGTCATTTCAAAGAGCGTGCCCGTGCTGTATCACATCCGACAGATGTTTTGTACCACCTGTCTCAAAAATGGCACTCTAGATGATTCCGCTTGGTTGCTTGGCGTTCAGATGTGCGACTTGCTGACACGCTGACATCGAAATCACTTGTTGGAAAAGTCCACCTTTAATGGCTGCGCTGCAAGCTTCCAGGCTGTGCATCCCTCATGTTTGAAAATGCGAGAAATATTTTATTGCGCTGTGCTTAAAAGAACTTCTTGCCGCCGTTCAAATCTACAGCAAATGTGTATGCACTTTGTTTACAGTCAAAATATAGACGTCATCTTCAGGCTAAACGGTCGTTGGTGGATGATTTGTTCATTTCGTCACCCCTGTACTTGGTATTGCTTACTGCGACTTCATCCTCTCCGTAGTTTTTCATATAAATCTTAACAGCGCTCGAATAAAAGAGCTGCTTTCGCCACGTTCACAACCCAAAAGGCACCAGTGCATCGTGCATCAAATATGAATGCTTAAACTATTTAGTCGTTTTTGAACAGCGAATCATGTAGATGACTCGTTGGTCGTATGTTTTTGTGTCGGCGTCCTGTTGGAAGAAAAAACCTCAAGCGATTGAAGCGAAAAGTGCATATATCTAGCATACAACATGCAGCGCAGCATTAGTTTCAATAAACAACAAGCACAAAAGAAGCATCCGAACCACATAATTTATAACAAGGCACCCCTGATAAGAATGCGAAGGACGTAGAGCTCACCGCATACGTTTCCCGATAAAAATTGCCTTTGCGCAAGCTGCTGCGGCGACTGCAGCTTGCAACGTGAGGAGTAAAGTCACTTGCCTTTCATATATAAAAGAACCCTCCGAGGAACTGATTTCATTGTTGTTGCAGCACCGCTATGGGTAGGCCATGGCGATTACCTTATCAACTCAAAAATACTAAAAAATACAAAGCATGCGTTATCTCTGTTTTTAACTGATATTTTTTGCGAATTCCTTTCGTCTGGTAACGTACCACATGACTGGAAAATTAGCCGTATTATTCCCATACATAGTTCTGGAAAACAAAATTCACCTTTAAACTACCGTCCTATATATAACTAACCATCATTTCTTCAAAAAAACATTCTGACATATCTTATGCTCCAATGTTATTATATATATCGAATAGA